ATATGGGGTTTTTAATATTTTGGATATGAAGGGGACTTTGGGTAACAACACAGGCCAAAAACTCCAGGAGTAACCCAGAGTATTCTGGCCCTAAAGCCGCCCCCAAATCCTCTAATTACCTGGCACTCCAGATCATCAGCAGGAGGTTGTTTGCATGCATGTCTTGCTGTGCCAACTGTTGTCACTGCTGCACCATGAGCCACTCCCTCTGGGTGTGAAGATGAGGTGCTCAGTCTTGATCACATGTCTGGGCACCTTATTCTGACCTCAAAGTGTGTGGCTCATGGTGGTAAGTAGCACACTGGGATGTGAACAGCCCCCTGCCATCACTTCTGAGGGCTCCAGAAGAACTGGAGTATATAGTGGGTTCAGAGCTCAACTGGCCAGACATCATCCAGACAGTTTGCCCAGAACCATGGATTGGGCCCTGTGTTGTCTGGACTACCCTCCATGAGGAGGGGCAGTGACATCACTAGGCCCATGCCCCTGGAGAGGGGTGACACATGATTGGGCCATCCACCCATGGGAGGAGAGGGTCAAGCGCTTCTGGTCCTGGTTCCCCGTGGCAGCAGTGGTTCCTTGTGAGGTGCTGCCATCACCACGGGGGAGGACAAGGACAAGCCCCCTGGCCCTGCTTCCCTGCAGTGTCACTGGTCTCCTCATGAGGAGGTTGCTGCTACCACAGAGAAGAAGAAGAGCTGAGCGTGTCTTTTTGACCATGCCCCCGGCAGCCATATCCTCCACACTGTGTGTCACGGGAGGTAGCAATGCCACTGAGGACAGAAGATGATGTGGTATTTGGCTCGGGCAATTTCAATTTTCAGTTTGCATCACTTCTAAAGATAGGACACCCTAGAGGATCACTTCTAAAGATAGGACACCCTAAAGGACACTGTGTCTAAAGATAGGACACAGTTTGCATCACTTCTAAAGATAGGACACCCACAAAAGGCCCCTTCCACTACTTCACCTGAATCAGATCAAATAGTATGCTGTATCACTGATACACTCTTGGTGCACAAACTCCACAAATCCTGACCTTACTCACCAGCTTCATGTAGACATTAAATATCAAAAAATGGAGCTTTTTGAGATTTAATAAGACAGCAGTGAACCACAGAACTCAGTGCTTCCTCCATTACCCAACCTAGATAGACAATCCAGAAACATATGGCTAATGGTGCTGAATGCCTTTGAGAGGAGCAGAAGAATTAATAGCACTGTACTCATTTTTCCACTGTAGGATAACCTTTAGCTTCTCAAGTTTAAGGTGGCCAGGTCAGTATCAAAAGGGGCTTGAAGCCAAAATGAAATAGATTTTGGATTCTACAACAGAAAAGTCAGTTGAATATCCAGTTGCCACATAATAGAGTCTCCTGTAAAGAAGGCATGAAATTATGTGGAACAGCAAAGTTCAGAATACAAAATACTACCATGCAAGAGGCCTGAGAAGTTCAGAGTTTAGAGCATGGGAAATGTTTTGATGATCTAGTTTTAATAGGCTAGGAATGTGGTCATAATAGTATTCCATAGCTATTTTATATGAAAAGTTTTCCACAGAATAGCTTTGTTTTAAAACAATATTTCCACCCAAACTAATGCCCCGTTTGGCAAAGTGGAAAATCAGCTGTTGACTGATCTCTAGGGAACACGCTGACTAATCTGGCTGCTAGGGTAGGAACCATCAGGCAGCACCACCTTGTTAAAGGTTGGACACAATGCTGATGTTTAGAGAAAGAATCTCTACACACACACACACACACACACACACACACCCCACAGAAAAAATCAACTCACACCAGCTGAACTTGTTACCTTAGGCTCCTTCAAATGTTTAATTAATCATCTTCTAAGCAGCTGGGAAAGGCAGGATACAACCCTTTGTCTTCTTCAGGGATCTCCAAAAGACAAACTGATTGCTGAGTAGTGCATCTTTCTCTCAGTTCTTTCATCTTCCATTGCATTTGTTTTATTGCTCTTTCAAAGAAGCCATAATCCTCTGCTAAGGGTTTGGCAGTCTTGTGTATCATGAGTGATTTGGGCTGCACAAAGAGGGTATTAATCTGTGAGTGTGAACAACCCAATAAGTAAAGGTTGTTTGTGAAGAATTACATGGGAGCTTCAATAACTGTTGGCTCAATTCCTGGACATCTTAGTGGAGAGTAACTTTTAAAAAGACACATTCCCTTCTATCTCTATTTATTTGCATATATAGTATGTTGCATTACTCATAAAGATGCTTGTTACTTTTTCTTTTGTTATTGTGTGCCTTAAAAGTCATTTCCAACTTATGGTGACCTTAGGCAAACCTACCAAGGAGTTTTCTGGGGCTGAGAGTGTGTGACTCACCCAGTTGATTTCCATGGCTGAGCAGGGAATTGAACCCTGATCTTCAGGGTCGTAGTCTGACACTCAAACCACTATGGTTTGGCTCTTTCTTCTTTTTCATATGTTGGCTCTCTTTTTCTTTTTCTTACTTTTTCATTTTTTTTAAAATTGTTTGATAAGGGGTAGCACAAAACCTACTCAAAATGCCTCCTAAAGTGCTACTCTCTTCAACATTCAATGATTTGTTGTTCTTGACTGTCATCAGGCCAACTTTGACTTATGGCAACTCCATGAATAAGAATTCCCATAGCACCTTATCATCAACAGCCCTATTCACATCTTGCAGACTCAGGGCTGTGGATTCCTTGAGTCTATCCATCTGGAATGCATCCTTCCTCTTTTCCTACTGCCTTCTACTTTACTGGACATCATTGTCTTTTTTAGTGAATGATGCTTTCTCATGATAAGTCCAAAGTACAACATTTTCTGTTTAGCCATCATGTCTTTTAGGGAGGATTCAGGTTTGATTTACTCTAGGGACCATTTATTTGTCCTTTTAGTAATTTGTGGTATCCATAGAACTCTTCTCCAGCCCCACATTTCAAATGAGTTGATTTTCTTCCTATCAGCTTTCTTGACTGTCAAGATTTCACAATCATACATAGAAATGGAAAATACATAGCATGGAAAATATTACTAGTATTCAGTTATATATCTGAACATTTCAGAACTGTCTAGTTCCATCATAGCTGCCCTTCTACATCCTAGCCTTCTGATTTCTTGATTGCAGTCTCTGTTTTACTTAATAACTGAGCCAATGTATGGAAAATCTTGCACTATTTCAACATCTTCACTGTCTAATTTAAAGTTATCTAAATCATCTGTGGTCATTATTTTTGTTTTCTTAATGTTCAACTGTAAACATCCCTTTGCACTTGACTTTCTTCAGCAATCGTTCCAAGTCTTTGCTATTTTCTGCTAGTAATATGGTATCTTTTGCATATCTTTATGTATGATGTTCAACATACAAGTTATACAGATACGGTGATAAAATGCTATCTTGTCTGGCCCCCTTGCCAGTTGGAAACCATTCCATTCTTTTATATTCTGTCCTAACGGTAATGTCTTGTTATGAATGCATCAAGACCATCAAATGTTCTGGCATACCCATTTCTTTAAGAGCGACCTTAAAAAGTTATTCATGGTCTATACAATCAAAGGCCTTACTATAATCTATAAAGCATAGGGTGATTTTATGTTACAATTCTTTGGTGCACATAATTATCCAACATATGTTTTCAATTTGATTCCTAGTGCCTCTTCCTTTCCTGAGCTCAGCTTGGACATCAGACATTTCTCATTCTTTATATGGTTAAATTATTTGTTGTAGAATTTTGAGTATTACTGTGCTTGTATGGGACATTTATGCAACAGTTCTGTGTTACTGCAATCCCTGGTGTCCCATTTCTTGCAAATTGGAATGTGCATTAAGGGGCTTTGCAGATGGACAAGAAAAACCAGGCTGATCTTGTTTTTCCCCAAATTGATTGGAAACCCCACTGTCTGCACAACTGGCTTTGAAAACTGGTCGAATATCCGAGGGCAGTCCGCACCATGCTGTGTCAAGCTGCACCTCTTTTTCTCTGCTCCCCCCCCCCATGCATTTGCACCATCACAGGCCACATTATCTCATTACACTCTAAAAGCACTGCTATTCCACTTTTACTGCTCTGGCTGGTTCCTGTTGCATTCTGAAGTGTGTAGTTCAGTGAGGCCTAAGAGCTCTCCAGCTGAGAATTCTAAATGCCCTTCCCTAAACTTCAAATCCCACAATGCAGCCAGAGCAGTTAAAATGGAATAGCAGCACTATAAGAGGATAGTGCAATAATATGGAGGGACACACCACCTCAGGCCAGAATTTCTGGGCACAATTACAACTGCTGGTTATGACCTATAAAGCCCTATATGGCTCAGGTCCAGGCTATTTGAGAAATCATTTCCCTGTATGAGCAGCCCTCGTCTCAGTCTCCCATCACAAGCACTGTTGGTAGGGACATGGGAGGGGGCCTTTTCCATGGCTGCCCTAGATTCTGGAGCTCCCTTCTCAGAGAGTCCACAATGGCTCTTCCTTATTGTCCCAGGACGTTTTCACACTGGGCTTAAGGCAGAAGCAATCCTGCATCATTCCGGCGTCATTCCGGTTCTTTTTCCCATGTGTTCACATGACGTCGCCCCTAGCCACGCCCCATCCAGTGCCATCCCCGGTGCAATCCTGCATCATTCCGGCTCTTTTGAATTCCGGGTTTCTTGAGGAATTGCACTCTTGCGGCCGGAATGATGCCGCAATGATGCTGGTTGCGCTGTGTGTCTGAACACGACATACCGATCGTGGAGCATTTCCAAGTTATGGCCCATGGTTCCCCGCGCTATTTCCCATGGATCTGTGAGGAAGCATCTTATGACGTGTACTTCCTGTTTGGATCAGGCAACAAACAGTATGGGTAAATGGTCCTCTCTATATTTTAAGGCAGTTTATTTTTCTTTTGG